AAAACACAAGTTAATAATAATAATAATAATAATAATAAAGGAAACTTCTATGGGCCTCCCAAAGTTCTTGTTCTTCCAGAGACAATTTTTATCACTTTAGACAACTATTTTTTTGTGCTATTTCTTTTGGCGTAGATAAATTTCATCCATTTTAGTGCTTTATATAAAAGGAATCATATACTTTTGGAGGAGGGGCATGATTCAAAACAGGGTCCAAGTTAATAATAATAATAATAATAATAATAAAGGAAACTTCTATGGGCCTCCCAAAGTTCTTGTTCTTCCAGAGACAATTTTTATCACTTTAGACAACTATTTTTTTGTGCTATTTCTTTTGGCGTAGATAAATTTCATCCATTTTAGTGCTTTATATAAAAGGAATCATATACTTTTGGAGGAGGGGCATGATTCAAAACAGGGTCCTGCTATGTAGAGCAGTCTGACCTTGAACTTGGAGATCCTTCTGCTTCAAATTCCCAAGTGCTGGGATTATAGCTGTAGCCTATCTGGAAATTGTATATATATTCTTTTGTGCCCAATAGTTACAACTATGTGTAGTGCATTCCATTTGATGGCTAATCTCCTGTTACTTATTTTTTTTTGCTTCCTATACTTTTAAATACCACAGTCAACTGTGGTCTGAAATGATCAAATGGAAAATTCTAGAAAGTTTTATTTTATTTGTATTATTATATATTTGCCTGCATGTATGTAAGTGACCCATATTGCACAATGCCCACGGAGGCTAGAGAGAGTGTCAGATCCCATGGAAGTGAAGTTACAGGTGGTTGTTAGCCACTATGTGGATACTGGTAACTGAACCTGGGTCCTCTGCAAGACCAGCAAGTGCTCTTAACTGCTGAACCATTTCTCCAAGCCCCCATTTCTTAATTTTAAATTGAATGTTATTCTGAGTATCATAATGAAATCACTTGTCACTCAGGATGTGAATTGTCCTTTTGTTCAGTGTATCCATGTCAAATACACACCACATTTGCTAGTCAGTTGGTGGTTGTCTGGGTCATCACGTCTACTATCACAGTATTGTAGGACTTAATGTTCAAGTGACCCTTATTTTAGTTAATAATGGCAAAAGAGCATAAGAACAGTGGTCCCTATAAGTTGGATATGCCTAAGAGAAGGTGTAAAGTGCAGTGCTTCCTTAGCATGAAAATGTAAAACTTTAATAAAAGAGAAGAAAATTGCATGCTGTGGTTACTAAGATTTTTGATAGTGAGAACGAACCCTCTGGAGCTGGAGAGATGACTCAGTGGTTAAGAGCACTGATTGCACTTGCCAAAGACCCAGGTTCAATTTCCTGCACCCACATGGTAGCTAAGAACTATCCCTCACTCCAGTTCTAGGGGATCTGGTGCCCTCTTCTGACCCCTGCAGGTATTGCACAACACAGGTGCACCAACCTATGTGCAATGTACTCATACACATTAAAAAAAAAAAAAAAAGAACCCTTTGTCCATGAAATTGGGAAGAAGGAAAGGAAATTTGTGCTAGATTTGTTGCATCAGCAAGCACAATACTCACTTATTTATGTTGGAAAAGGCATTAATTCCACATATGTGTGCATAGTGCATACAGCACACAGTACTATTTCAAGATCTACTGGGAGTCTTGGAAGATATCCTCTGAAGATAAAAGGGAATGGTTGTATTACTAAAACATTCCACCACATGATGTCTGTTCCATGCACTGTTTACCCTTTTATCCATTGTTTACAGTTTCTATGATATGAAGTGAATCTTGAGCTAGGAGAGATGGCTCAGTTAAGAGTGCTTACTGCCCTTGCAGAGGACCCGAGTTTAATTCTCACCACCATGTCAGGTGACACAAAACTACCTGTAACTCCAGCTCCAGGGAATTCAATGCCCTCTTGTGGCTGCCAAAGGCACCCCCCCACACGTGGCATACTGATACACAGATACACATACATGTAAATACAAGTAAGTCTCAAAAAAGAATCTACGAATATTCATGAAATTCTCTTTTAATCATACCATATGATAGCTATTCCTCTCAGTGGCTTGGAGATTTGTCATCCTATATGCTTCATAGTTGTGTGTGTGTGTGTGTGTGTGTGTGTGTGTGTGTGTATCTGTGTAAATTTTTTTTCAGGGTCAGTTCTGATAGTCCACATCTCCTGGAGGATCCTCTCTTAAAGACCATTGCTAAGAAACACAATCGAACTGTAGGCCAGGTTGCCCTGCGATATCAACTGCAGCGGGGTGTGGTGGTCTTGGCCAAAAGCTTCAATGAGAAGAGAATCAAAGAGAACTTCCAGGTAAAGTCCCAATAGCATCTCTCCAGAGTGAAGTGGTGTGGGGGTGGGGGTGGGGGTGGGGGTGTCTCTCACATGGGAGCATACACCAGGTTTCAACTTTAGTTAGTTGTGGGAGTCCTTTCCTATGGCAGAGAATTTTACCAACACTTACTTCTGTCCTTCACCTCCTTTGCTTAACAAACCCTTATTGGATTTTAAGATTAAATCCAAATAGGATTAGTTGGTTGATTAAACCACTGGACTATCTCAATATGTTTTTGACTACCTAGTATTGGGCACAGCTGTTGTGAGTTTTTTCCTTATTAACTTAATTAACATTAATTATTATGTCAATGTGCTTTCTAGAGTGTGAGATGTTACATTCAGCAATTTTCTCTTTTATCATTGGTTTTGCTCTTGGCAAGAAAGAAGTTAGATAAATTTGTAGACTGACCATATTAAGCCTGAGAGGGTGGGTTCAGACCTCCATCTGGGTAGCAGCTCAGAGCTCAGCAGACAGCCAGAGAGTGCCGGGGTTTGGCCTCCCTCTGGCTTCCAACTACCAAAGGGCTTGAGAACCCAGGGGACAGCCTGACAGCCCCTGGATCCTGCCTGCATGTGGTGGTGAACTTCCCCCAATTGTGCCATACCATCCCCCTACCTGGGATTTCCTCAGGCCCTTCCCAAGGCCCAGGGCAGATCTGGCTTTGGTAGGCTAAGGCTGAGATCTTAGCAGACAACCTGAAAGGGTGGGTTCAGACCTTCATCGGGGTAGCGGCTGGGAGCTCAGCAGACCATCAGAGAGTGCTGAGTTCTGGCCCCCTTCTGGCCTCCCTCTGGCATAGGGTTGACAACCTAGTCCCTATGCCACAGGGTTGGCATTAGGGACTGCCTGAGAGAGCCTAGATCCTGCCTCAAAGTGGTGAAGGAAGCCTGAGTGTACCTGACTGGAACCTGAATTGGGTTTTCTGTGGGTACTCCTGAATAGCTGATCTGAAGCCATCAGTTTCCTCCAAAATAAACCTGAGAGAACCTGAACCCTGTACCAACCAGCTTTACATAACCAATAAAGAAAGGGTCTAGGCACTCGGATAATACAAACAGAAGCATACTTCAACTTAATTCTCATATCAGAATCATAAACAACAAAAGAAATTCACATGCCAAAACCACAATGACAGAATAACAAAATGGAAAGCCAAAACACTGTGTCTCCACCAAACTCCACCAATCCTTTAGAAGATTTCTACAATGAGACCCCTCTAGAGATAATCCAGGACACTGAATTTCAAAGAACAATCATAAACATTATCAAAGAATTCAACGAATTTAAAGAACACACGAACAAACAAATGAAAGAACTAAAAGAAGACAGGGATGAACTTCTGAATGAATTCACAAAAGATACAGAACATTGTAAGGGAATACTTTAAAAACCTATATGCTACTAAATTTGAAAACCTAAAAGAAATGGATGCATATCTAAAGGC